GGAATAAAAAATAAAAAAAGCAGGGGTGCACGGTGCAGAGGGGAACATGGTTTACAAGCAGAGGGTGGTGAGATTGCCGTTACAGCAGGAAAAACATCCTGCCCCCCCTGTTCCTGCTGCTATAAACAGAGGGGCTCTGAAGATGCTTCCTCACAGCTTCAGAGTCTTTCCTCGTCATCCTGGCAGAAGTTATACAAACAGCATAAGACAGGGAGAGAGGAATCAGAACCTAAGTCAATACCACTTTCCCTCAATTTCTCAAACCCAGTAGTCATCCCCCGCCCACTCCATCCACTTTCGAGTGCCTACACATGGAAGCACTGTGGAACAGAATCAGTCAATCACTCACTCAGTCAAGGTCTGTGACTGCCTGCGACAGATTCATTGATAGATTAACTAATCGAATCATTCAATTGATCAATCAATCAATCAATCAATCTATCAGGGGTCAGAATCAAACGTGCAAAGGGTGGTAGGAGGGCACCGATAGTAGGCGATCAAGACAAAGAAAAAAATAACTTAAGGGAACCGTACTTAAAAGGGGGAAAAAACAACAACGAAAAGTGCAGAGAAACAAAGAAATCCAACAGCACTTCCCCAGCCCTCTTTGGGGTCAAATCGAAATGTCTCGAAGGGTGTGCTGGAGGGAGTTGGGAGTTTGCTCAGTGTTAATGCAGCAATGATAGATTGATTGGTTGGTTGGTTGGTTGCCTGCTTGCTTGGTCCGGCGCGGTTTTTTGTTAAGGGGCGTTTTTTTTTTTGGGTAGGTGTTGGCGCGGCCTCGTGGGCCCGGCGGGGTTTTCTGTTTACTGCTATTTTTTGGGGGGGTGGTTGGTGTCGGCGCGACTTTATGAACGGGCTCTTTTTTTGCTACCGTTTTTTTTTTCGCGCCGCACCGGGCGGGGGTTGGGAAGTAGCATGACGCGGTTGGCCATATTCAACAGGTAGTGTATATTTCCATGTTCTAGCCGAAGATTCATTGGATGTTGCTCATCCTATCGATGGAAGTGAAAGGGCCTTTTTCACCCAATGTAGGCCTCAGGCCTGTCTCTTATACACATCTAGATGTGTATAAGAGACAGAGTCGACTCAGGCGCTGCACTCGCCCCTGTAAACGCAGCCTCTCAACGCACGCGCGACTGATAAAGTTCCGCGTCGAGCAAGTGTCATAATAGGCCCCGGCCTTGCGGCCGCCAATGACAACCTCGCTGACGAACATCTCACCCTTAGGGGCTTTGACTAAGGCCGTCCAAGAAGATAGCGGGTCTGATCTAGACCACTCCACCTCTAGC